TTACTGTCGCAGTATATATATTCATGGATACAAACTTTATTTTTATTGGTTGAGAAAACGATTTACTACAGTAATAATTATATTGTCATATTAGTAATGCTCAGTGTGACTGACAAAAATTATTTTATATGATTTTCCTCCGGAAAAGATCTGTTAGTAGAAACTAGAAAGAGTCTTTTGCATAGATAGGCTAAACCAACTAATAGAAAATCATTTTTCTCCCGTTTATGTCTACTTTGACAATAATGCACATATCAAACAAAAAAAAACTGTCAGTCCAATTTGTAAAATCAGAAAAGATAATTGAGTATCTGGCGTATATACATCAATTATCTAAAATGTAAATTATCTAGAATGCAGTATTTTATACTCTCTCCGTTCCATATTGTATAATGTTTTGGATTTTTTATTTTGTTCCACAAAGATTGATTTTCTACATTATATTTAATATATTTCTGTTTTCAAGATAATTTTTTGAATAAAAAAATATAAAAAATTAGTATTAAATTAATAAACAAACAAAAAAAACTTTAAAAAAATAAATAATCATTGTTTTCTTAATATTTGTGAAACATTTAAAACATTATATATTCTGGAACGGAGGTTTTCAGAATATAAAATTATTTATCAAATAGAGATAATATTGTTGGAGTTGATGTTTTTGACTATATAGAATAAATCAAGAGACGTATGAGAATAGCAAGACCATACTCAAAAAGTGTCGATAGACCATCTTTCGGAATTCCTATAGTGTGGAAAGTCAAACGTAACGATCTAGTTGGAAGGTTTTTCACCGACTCGAACTCGGGGAACCACTTGACACTTGTCCATATCCTTGGCGGCAACTTGTTCAGTGCCTCTTCGAAATCACGCATCGCCATTGGATCTTTCGAGATCTTTCGAAATCACGCATCGCCATTGGATCTTTCGACATCTTTCGAAGTCTCACGTGTTCTTGATCTCCTCCCACAGGTTCTGTTCGTTGACGCGTCTCCGCACACACGTTTGATGTCAGATATTATGCCTCCACTCTCCACTGTATCTTTTTGCTTCTCCTAGCCAAAACGCATCAACAGTGTCAACAGATCACTGGCCACCTGAAACGATTCCAATGTACTAATGATCCCATTGCGGTTAAATATATAACAACTGAAAACCACTGATTAATAAGCTAACCTCAACCATTCTCAAATTGATATGGATAAGTGCCTTTGCGACTTTCGAAATTTGGTAGAGGAATCTATACACGTTTCTCTAGCCTCCTCCTGCAAATTCTGAACTGAGTGTGAGCAAGATCATTTGAACAGCCTGAAGCTGAAAAATTTAGAAGAGAAGCAAAAGAAGAATGTATTGCTTGACCTGAGAGCTTAAATGGGAAATTGATTGCTGCTAATACCATTGCTCTGTCGCTGTATTGCCCTCACGCCCTCTACTTGAACCAAGAGTTCTTGGTGATTCGCGCTCTGCGTTTTTTTCAAATGACACAATGTCTTGGGATCTTTTGGTGAGCAGAGAAGCGCATGCATATACAAATAAACTAAGGCTAGAAGAAGTTACCCTGGAGAGTTGCAAAGAGATTCAATCTCAGCAATGAAGATTGTGCCCCGGAGCATATGTCCTAACCAGATCAAACAGGCATCTCACCATGCACTCGCACTCCTCAACGCCGTTTTTGAGGCTAAAGCCAGCAGAAGGGACATTGAAGAATGCAGTGCATTCAGTGGCAACCGTTTTGGCCAACAGGGTTTTACCTGTCCCAAGAGGACCAAACATTAAAACTCCTTTCCACGGTCTTCAAATACCTTGAGAGCAACAAGGAACATAGACTGAACATCAGAATTATTTTATCTCTCCCTAATCAGCTCATTGAGCAACATACTATTGATCACGACAAGCTCTTCTATGATTCGAAAGAGACGAACTAAAATGTCAATCAAACAGAACGAAACAGCTAACATACATTGCAAGGGGCAGAGCAAGAATTTTTCATGGTAGATCGAAATCAAAAGTAGGAGAAACCACATACGATTTCCCAAGCTAATCAGTGATTTTCGTGAGATGTCATGTGGCTCGTCGGCGAAGGAGGCGATCGGAGCCAGGTACCTATGATGGTTTGGTTTTCCGGCCTCTTTAATCAAATTGGGTCCATCACTTGATAGGCCTGATTTACTGGGCCTATATGTGGGTCTAATTTAGAACGGACCAACAAAAGTCCGTAGTAAAAAACAAAACAAAAAAGCCCTTTAAAAACATATTTTTATTCCCTTTGTTTTTATCTAACGTCCTCTGACGTGACGTCCACCGTAAATAAAAAAGGGACCATCTAAAAAATTTAAATAAACAATAATATTCAGTTTGTATATTTCTTTGTTTTCTCATTTTAAATTTCTCAAGTGACATACGTTTGATTATTGTACTCACGTGATAACAATAGTTTTCTAAATTAGAATAGATTTGGACCACCAAATCAAAAAATAAATAAATATATATATATATATATATAGATATCCATTATGCAAAATGCATTTGAATCTGATCAATATCATTGTCTAAGAAATATATACGCATCTTGGTGCGTGGTTAATGCGGTAGGGAAGGAAATGGAGGGAAAGTTGAACTTCAAAAAAACTAAAACTGGACCACCACTTTCAGTAAATTTTGTATATGAATATAAATAAATCTTTTATCTCTCTTTTACTTTCTTTCTTTTTTGTCTTGAGTGTTGTTGTGTTTTGAAAATTAGATCTAACTTTTTGGTTTGTGGATAAACATTATTATTAGGGTCATGACTTATTGTTACGTTCATCTCGCTCTCACTAGCAATTTTATAGCCATTATTAAACTTTAAGAGTAAGTCAAATAAAATATTAAGACTTTAGATCGACATCAAACCAAGTTTTGAATTCAAAACTCGCAAGACTCTTGATTATCTAATCACGTATTGTAACTAATTTCAAAAGAAAGTATCATTGACTCATCATTCTATAGAAGAAAAAAAAAGGCAACCGAAAAAAATATCGTTGACTCATCATCATCATCATACGCTCACTTTTTTTTAGTCCAATACTTCTTGAAGGTTTCAAAATTTTAACTTATCTTTTTGTTTTAGTTAGTTGAGAGTTGTTGATACTTGATACGTAGGTTAATAATTAAAACATAGTTTAAAATATGGTTGATATATAGTAAGTATATCATGGTTTAAACGTAAAACATAACCTATCTTCTATCATTTTTACTGTTACTGTGTTGTTTGTTGGGTTTTAAAATTGTCGAACAAAGTTTAAATTACAGAAGAACAGCAACAAAGTTGTTAGTGACAAGAACACATGAACAAAAAGCTAAAGAGGAAGAAGACGATCGAGGATGGCCAGCAGGAACAAGATCTCTGCTGCAGCAATTAACATCCACCCACGCGCAATGAAGTTTTCTCCTTGTTGGGGCCTCCGTTTTTGGACTCTTATTTCTTTCTTTTTTTTTCCTAATTAAGAGATCTACTTACTTCCAAAAGTGAAAAAATAAAACATTTGAACTTAAAAAGAAAAAAGTAAAAAACTCAAAAACGAAAAGTTGTATTAATGGCTAGGGGATTATTGCGCGGTTGCTTCTCATTAATTAGTAAGCGGTGAATTAATGGCTCATATGCCCATTGTACAATGTACGTCGGAGGATGATAAATGTGGCATTAATTCATCCTTGTAAACAAATACTCCTACTAAACTTAAATCAACTAAGCACTAATTATAAAAGTTTAAAACTAAACAAAAAGTTTCCCCCCCAATAAACTGTATTTTCTCTCTCTTCTACACCCATACCCATATGTTAGGGTCAACAGGTCAAATTTTTTTGTTCTCTGTACACAAATATTTTTTTTTAAAATTGTTTTCTTTTTCAAACACTGTTTTAATGTCGTTAGTAAAGTTTGTTTTTAGTTTTATTTTTTTTAATTAATTAATTTCTAAAATGTGTCTTCTTTATCGTTTAAACCACACTAGTGTCTGTCTCGTTCACTCAAAGACGCTCTCTTTCCCCTAGCGCGGATTCACCATCTCGATCTGCCCAAGCTCCTTCTTTTCCTTACGAATTTTCTGGAGCTTCTTCGCAGGTCTAAATCTTTTAACTTTGCTTTCTTAATTTTTATAAGGAGATTTTGGAATTTATGCTCATGTTTGTGCAATCCGCGTACCTGCATTTTGTTTTGCGCTTGAGCCGCCTCAGTTCCGACGAGTTTTTCCTTTTGGGTTTCTTGCAAATTTATCGATGTTTAAAGATTTTTTTGTTCTTTTAGAAATTAGAATGCGAAGAAAAGAAAAAAAAAAGCGAATTTTGAGTCCAATCGATAGGGTTTTGTGGGTTCTTTGAAATTTCCGTAGATGTTTCAGCTCTGTGACATGGGTTTCTCACGATCTGTTCGTCTTCCCCAGAAAATGTGGCTGCTTCTCAAGAGAAAGTCTGTCTTTTTTTTTTTTATGATTGATCTTTTTAAAACCCAACAAAGAAAGAAAGAGTAGCTAGATTCACGAATATTTGTTTTTCCTATTATCTGTTTACAAATTCTGGGGGGGATATTTTCTATGGATTTTGCTATTATATTTTTTCTGCATTATACTGTATGCATCGTTCGATTAGGAAATCAAATAAACTTTTGATTCTACCATTGAATCTTGCGGCGTTTGAAAAAAGTTTCAAGCTTGGAACTTGAGTGTATCTCTCATTTATACTCTTGGTTCAACGGGCCAATTTCCTTGGAAAGTTTCCAAAGAAAAGACCTCCATAAGAATCATTTGGTGATGAAAGTTCTTATTTTGAGTCGATTTGGCCATCATTTTCAGACCATCTTTCTTTGCATTGTTACAGAACATTCCTGAACAGTGATCTCTCTATTGCCTTAACCGTCGATCTTTGTGTTTTCTCTTGACTTCAATTTCACAGATCAGAGGAAAGATGATGCAGTCCTAAGTCTCACGACTTCAAGGCTGTGTCTTCTACTGGGAATTCAAAAAATGGGGATGGAAAATGCTGTCTCTCGTCCTTTCACTCGTGCCCTTGCCTCTGCTTTGCGCGCTTCAGAAGCCACTTCTACTACACAGAATCAACAGAGAGCAAACACAAAAAGACCAGCTTTAGAGGATAAGGACGTCACTGCACCCAATAAGAAGAAGAAGCGAACAGTTCTAGGGGATATCTCCAATGTTAGCTTCAGAGCGGCTAAACTTGAGGTTGTTAAAGTGCACAATGTCTTTTTGTTTGTTAATGTTTGTCTTCCTGTGATATCTGTGAAGTAAAACATGTGTTTATGTCATTTCAGGCTAAAAACACCAAGCAGGTAAAGAAGGAACTGGGATTGGCGAGTACATCCCAGTTGACATCTTCTGTTACTTCTGAAATCACAGATCTTCAATCCGGGAACGAATCAAAGCCAGAAGTTGAATCAATTACAGCAGGAAACCTGTCTCTTTGTAAAGACACAAATGAGAAGTGGAATTTCAGATTGCCTCCAAGACCTCTTGGGAGATCAGCTTCTATAGGTGATTCAACAAACACAAACTTTCATGTGATTAGTTCATATTCTTTGAAGGAGTGGTCTTTAATGATATATGAACCTTTTCCTTTTTGCATATGGTTACAGTTGAGAGAAGTGCTGTTATTGGTGGCTCAACTGCACCGGATATCCCGAAATTCATAGACATTGATTCAGATGACAAGGATCCTTTACTGTGCTGCCTCTATGCCCCTGAAATCTACTACAATTTGCGTGTTTCAGAGGTAAATCCTAGGCTTTGATCTAATTCTCTAAAGAAACTTGGTAAGCCAAAGCACTGAAAGTTTGGATCCTTGTGCGTCTGTTTCACTTCTCTCCTAGCAGCTCAAACGCAGACCCGTTCCTGACTATATGGAGACAGTACAGAAGGATGTCACTCAGTCCATGCGGGGGATTCTGGTTGATTGGCTTGTGGAGGTCAGTCTTTAGTTCCCCTTCTGATGCTAACTTTTGCAGCTTCTTTGCCCGTCTTGGGTTCTCACAAAAGTCTCATCTCAATCACAGGTGTCTGAGGAGTACACGCTTGTACCTGACACTCTTTACCTCACAGTGTATCTCATAGACTGGTTCCTCCATGGAAACTACGTGCAAAGACAGAAGCTTCAACTGCTCGGCATCACATGCATGCTAATTGCCTCGTAGGTTCCTCTCCAAATTTACTACTGAATCTCACATCTCAGGTGCAAATAAAACTAAAAGCTTTGTTTTGTTTTGTTTCTCTTTCAAACTTTACAGGAAGTATGAGGAAATCAATGCGCCGCGCATTGAAGAGTTTTGCTTCATCACGGATAACACCTACACGAGAGATCAGGTATACCGAGATTGCTGTCTTACACCTCGAAAAAGAAAGTGTGCCAATGTACTAATGTGATGGTGTTGTGCAGGTCCTGGAAATGGAGAACCAAGTTCTTAAGCATTTTAGCTTTCAGATATACACTCCCACTCCAAAGACGTTCCTCAGGAGATTTATCAGGGCAGCGCAAGCCTCTCATCTGGTAATGCATTTTGCAATTTTCTCGCCAATCTGTTCTTATTACAAATATTTTGTAGAAGAAAGATTGAGAATTTTGTTGGTTTTGTATTGCTGATTTTGCAGAGCCCGAGTCATGAAATCGAATTTCTAGCCAGCTATCTAACGGAGTTGACGTTATTAGACTATCATTTCTTGAAGTTTCTTCCTTCCGTCATTGCTGCTTCAGCGGTTTTTCTTGCCAGGTGGACATTGGACCAATCAAGCCATCCATGGGTATGTAATGTTTTTCTCTTTCTCTATACCCAGACACAGTTTAGTTCCACAGATCTTGGATCTTTAACTTCTTTTTGGCCATTTTTCCCCTGCAGAATCCAACACTGGAGCATTACACAACGTACAAAGCGTCAGATCTGAAAGCATCTGTTCATGCCTTGCAAGATCTACAGCTTAACGCCAAAGGTTGCCCCTTGAGCGCTATACGCATGAAGTATAGGCAAGAAAAAGTAAGTTTTATACACTTAAACACATGCTAAACCCGTTTTGACTTCGGTTTTCTCGATTCTCATAAGACTGTTTTTGGATTTGCAGTTCAAATCTGTGGCGGCTCTCACATCTCCAAAACTACTTGACACGCTATTCTGAAGGGCTAAATTGAACGGTTCAACTCCTAACCGATAATAGATCTGTAACATTGATGGTCCGGTTCGTCTTCATTCATCTGTTACTCTTTTTGTTCATAAAACACTTCCCACTTCCCACAGTCCCACCCATCTAATACCTGATTAGAATTCGGTTTAGCTTGGTTTAGTTTGATCTGGGGTTTGGTTCTTCCAAACCTGGTTTCATCTGATCGGTAACAAGAGGTTATTTTAGTTGTAACGAGAATGTACATTTTTCTCCTATCTTGAGGCAATGTAAACAGTTTCGGAAGTTACATTATATTTCGATATCATATAAGTCGTTTATACAATTATACTACAGATATCGATTATAGATATAGGATTGTTGTGCTGTAAGCCTGTAACCTATGGGAGTTATCTCCAGACTTCAGTCCAATGACCAAAAGATGAATGAGTGTAAAAGAAAACAATCTTCTACAGATCTTCGATTCAAAATTTTGAGTAATAATGTGTGATGGAAACATATGTTGACTCTAAGGCTCACTCGCATTCACATGTTGCTATAGCCAAATCATTTCACTCTTTATTGACTGATCTCTTCATAATCCTTAACCTCTTGCATGTTCCAATGAACATTCTGCACAGACATAATTTCATAATTAGGAATCAGACAAAATAATACGTAAACTAATTGAAGATTGTAGAGATAATAATTGATAACATACTCCCAAGGAACATCACCAGCAAGCATCCAGTCTCCATCTTTATCCTCATATATTGGGACGCATTCACTTTCCTTCAGTGTATCATCTTCAATTCATATTTCGAACATTATAGTTAATATCAGTGTGTTGATCATTAACTAGCTTGATAAAAAGCCAAAGTCAAAAAGATAAAAAAAACTAACCAAAATTGATGAAGCATCCGAATAGAATTTGCAGAGCGGAGGAGAGATCTTGGTAACACTTGTACATTTCCAAATCAATCTTTCTTAGAAACGCAGCTCCGTCTACACTCACTTTCACGTACGAAGTCATGTTCCGTTCGAGAGTGTTCTTTCTCCGGTACGAACAAACCGGTGGCCATCCCACAACTTGACTCTTTGTCGCCGGTTCACACTTCAAGTCACTTTCCACTTCCGTAGATACCCTCTTCTTTCCGATGATGGATCCACCGTAGACGGTGATGTCGCCGGGAAGACCTAGTCGTAGTTCGGTGATTTCGAGTCCAACATTACTCTCATTCGCCATATCGATGTTTACAGATTGAAGAAATATATGTCAGTGTTAATGTGTTTTGATCTTTATTTTTCGGGCGTTTTATATGTTTTCAAGGGAACCGAAATGGTACCGTTTCAGACAAGCTCGTTTAGCATTGATGTATCTTGTCGGCATCATTCCAAGATCTTGTCGAAATCTAAAGACATTTCTTTTAATTCTTTTGCCGTTTCGTGTTCAAAGGTCGACAATATGATCCGTTGATTAGACACATCGGACGGCCACGATTTCGCCATCGAAAAAGTATAATGTATTTCTCAGCCGTTAGATCAGAAACATCCCATGTTAGGTGTGATTTGATATGTCTCCGGATGTTTTAATCAACGACATAAAACTATAACAACATATTCATGGTCGACTATATCATAGTGCATATAATGACGTACGTATATTTATACATACTAATGTTTCTCGACAACCGAACACTTTTTATACTCAAGGCTAAGACAAGTTATATACGGTGGCGATCACCCATACAAAGCTTGTATGTCATATTGCCATGAAACTATACATACATAAAATAAAATTCTACACTGTACAAAACGTAATTTTATATGTTTCCATAGTTTGCTTCCCGAATGAGCATGTAAAATTCATGCACGTGCCCCCACGCTTTCGTTAATCACATGCATACCCGTTACTTTCGTTATTTACATAATTACCTGAGAGTTTTGTAATTCACACACCCTTTCTGAAATCTTTCGTTATTTACACACTATACAAGTAAATATTTTTTTCCTTATTTTTTTCAGGGAGATGTTTCCATATATTAATCTCCACTCCAATTGTACATTTTTGGAATGTGCATATGGTTGTAATTTGTAAATAAGCTAGATTTCTATTTGTGTATTAAGTTAAATGTCCATGTACGCATTTTAATTTAGATTTTGATCGATCATGTGGATTGCATATATCCTCGAGTGGGTTAAGTCAATAAATAACACAACCGAAAACTATATAAGAGTTTGTGATAATGGAGCGCGAGACCCACAGTGATAATGATCATCACATCATCGACATTCCCAACGGTGACGATTCTTTATATGACGAAAGCTATTCTTCAGCAAGATCGTCTCTGTCGTCTACGCATAATGATCAGGACATCATCAACATGCTGAACGATGACGATTCTTCATCAATATCGTCTCTGCCTACGGATGAGGAAACGTCTACGAGTGGCTGTGATTCTCGTAATCTTGGGAATTCAGTGGAATTAGTCTTCGCTTTGGTCCAGACATTTGCAGCATTAGTAGTTTTAACTCCAGCAAAAGATGAACAACCACAAACACTATTGTTAGCATGGCTCATTGGTTACACTTGTGGCTGTATTATCAGTATGCTCCTTAGTATGTTTTGGTGCTTACGCATGTATAACCAAGAAGCTGGGGAATACCCAAGGACAAGGTATAATAATAATAATAACTCTTGTTTTCTCCGTAATTTGTGTTTTTTTGTTTGTTTGGTTTAATTATCTAAAACAAACCGAACCGACTATTGGTGGCAGAAGTGATGGGGTGGTGAAGAATATGAAGATGGGGCTTGAATGTTTCTTTATCGTGTGGTTAATTTTGGGGATTGTGTGGATATGTGATGGCCACTCATCTCCTTCTGATGCTCCTAAACACTACAGGTTGGACTCACAATCATGTCTCAAGAGATGATGAACTAAACTCTGATTAATTAAAAACTCACCTCTGTCTTCTTGATTCTGTCATATTTCAGGTTATGTGTAGCCTTCATTGTTTACAGTTGCATCAGATTTGCAGCTGGATTTCTAATTTGGTTATGCTCAGGTATCTGCCTCTTCTCGCCACGAGGGTTTGGAATATTACTTGTCATCTATGGTGGATAAATACTGATATATAATATGATGTAGATTCTGTAGGGAAAGAAAGTGAAGGAGGTGGAACTGTTTTCCAGGGACCGACCAATGATGATGTGAGTAATAATATCATAAGATGCCATTATCTTTCATATCACACTCAGTTCTGTTGACCGCATGCAGGTTTCCTCTTTCGTGCTTAATGTTTTGACTATTTTGGTGGTACTCTGTGTGCAGTCTTGTTGCATCTGCTTGGTGAAGTATGGAGAAAAGGAGGGAGCAACGAGGAAACTTGAATGCTCGCACGTCTTTCATTTAGAGTGTATAGACAAATGGCTTAGAGTCAAACCCACGTGCCCTCTCTGTCAAACCCTTGTCAGGGGATGATGATGAGAAGAGAATGTCGATACAACATTTTGCGTAGAGACTTGAGACATGTTTACATACGCGATGTTCTGAGGCTTGAGAGATATTGATTCTTTTTTATATTTGAAGACATGTTGCAAATATTACCTCTGGATAATAGGCATATATACGCATATAAAATTCTACGCTTTGTGTTTGAATGTAAAAGACAATAATATGGCACCAAGTCATTTTATTTCATTATGTAATTCATAACGTTTTCTAAACATAGGATAAATTCATAATTTTACGAAAGAGGACACAGATCAGTGGACGTGCCGGAGTGGTTATCGGGCATGACTAGAAATCATGTGGGCTTTGCCCGCGCAGGTTCGAATCCTGCCGTTCACGAATTTGTTTTTTTTTTATTAACTTCTCCCTCCAGCTTAGCAGCAGTAGTAGTATCTTCCTTCTTTTTTAATTTATTTCGTCGCCGGTTTTTCATCCCCCCGCCACTATTTACCCTAGATTTTTTTTTCTCTTTGCTACTGAATCCCGCTTTTTCCCAGACATTTCAATTTTCAATTTTCAAAACTCAAAACCTCTCTCTCTCACTCTCTCTCTCCCTCGATCTCTCGCAGCGTCAGGATATCTAACTGAAGTCTAATCAGCGGGGAATATTCCGGTGGTTCAGATGGCTGATCTGAGCCGGAGTTCAACTTTAGGGGAGGATCCTTTACATGCTTACTCAGGTCTGTCGTTGTTTCCTCGCACGCTGAAATCCTTGTCCAATCCTCTTCCTCCTCCTCTTTATCAATCAGAAGATCTACACCAGACGCATACTCTCCTTGAATCTATGGTAATTTCTTCCCTCTTTATCTGCTTGATACTTTGATTTGTTGCATTAGCTAGGGTTTGTGTGCTCAGTGAGTAATTGCGGAGATGATTCGAGTCGCTAATTTTACGGGTACGAAATCAATTATAAAATCTGGCTGGTAATAATCGTATTCCTGCTTTCGTTTCCGCTCATCCGCTTCCGGGGTGTGCACAAAATGACGGAGATTAGGTTTTTGTTTGAGCCCTCTTTCCATGACACTTGATAGAGAGCCGGATATATGAGCGCTTGCTTCTTCTTCCTCTTCTCCTTCTTTTTTTGTTCGTATGCTTGTTTTTCAGGTTCTTTCATAAGTCTGTGTAAACTGCAGATATTTAACGATTACCCAGAAAGTTTAACAAGTCTGACATCGGAGAACCGTGAATTTGGACGCTGTATCTCTGTGTTTACATTAAGTGCAGCGCGGATCCGATGAGGCATTACAGCTTAATGTTTGCTAAGTGAATAAGCTCTAGTAGATAGTCTGCTAATGAATTATGTGATATAAGTGCTGTACATTGGGTCTGCTAATCAACTTCAGTTTCTCAAACTAAACTATTCGCTGTCAAATCATTGTCTTCTATCGCGCAGCCTTTCGAAATTCGAACGGATCATCAGGAACAAGCCAGGGCCATCTTAGATGAGAGCTCAGCATTTTTAAAGCAAGGCACTGGAACCAGTGTAGCATCCCAAGATACGAATGAAGGTGACAAGATCCCAAATAAACGAGAAAGAAGACCGGGATTAAACCGTAAGCGAGGACACTTTACTTTCAAGCCTACGACAAGGTAAATATCAGTGTAGCAACTGATCCATTGATTTAGTATACACTTTTTTTTTCTTTATTACTTCATCTGATTTCTTTACAAAGCTGGTTGAAGCCTATATAAATCATTCTTGCTGCAGTCAACCACCTCCAAATGAACCAAGCTTCGATCCTAGTAAATATCCGAAACCTGAAGACTTTTTTGCTGCGTATGAAAAATTTGAAAGTGAGTTTATTTCTGTTTCTCATGTTCACAGTCTTGTTTTGTTTATTATATAACTATCATTCAGTTGTGCTTTCTTTTCACTGGATTTGAGGTAGATGCCCAACGAGAATGGCAGAAGCAGAGTGGCACATTTGTACCAGAAACACACCAGAACCAGCCATCGACCCGCCCTCGCAGACCAGGTCTTCCTGGGTATGTTCTACGAGCTACTCTGTTACTGCTTGTTTCAGTCTTGTTCCATTTGCATATTTTGCTATCCGTTTCCTTTGATACTTACAATTACAAATTCCAGGAGAAAACGGGGTTCATACAAGCATACTTATACGGATAGTTATTTAACTTACCTGAAAGCTTCAGAAAACGAAAATCCCATTCCTTCAGAACATACTTTAGAGAGGACCACGGTTGCACCAGTAACGACTGCGGACAGAGAAGTAGATGGTGAGTGAGCACCTGTAGTAAAAAAGAATGTCACGAGCTACCATTTTGTTAGATCATGTTCGCAACTATTTTGTCAAATCTGATAGCGTTAGCCACTGTGTTCTGCAGATTCAACCGTAAACACAGACAAGGGCTTAGAAAAAGTTTTGACTGAGTTGCTTGCTTGCTCTCCGGATGAGCTTGATGGGGATGCTGGTGTCAAGCTTTTGGAGGAACGTCTGCATATCAAGCCCTTTGATAAACAATTGCTTTCTCTCCCTAAACTTCCTGAATTTCCAGATGTTAGAAGAATGAACTTGAAGGCACCTGGAAGGACCCCACCAAACCAAAGGACTGCGCTATCAAATATACAGAATCTGCTAAAAGGGATCAACAAAGACGCGACTCGAAAAAATAGCCCGTCATCAGCATCAAGTCCACCAGAGGATCACTTTTCATTTCCCGACAGACATTGTCTACTTGCAGGAGATCGACAGTCTAGAGAGGATAATCTAGCAAAGGATTTGAATGTCTGTTTCAGATCCTCAGTGGCCAACGATGCTGATGAAGTTATAACTAATGCATCCCGGTCCAATGTGGGCACTACACACGTTGCCTGCGAATTCAACAGCTCAGTGCAGAAGAGTTCTACTGGAGGTGGTTCTGATACTCATTCTGGCATCCACAGATCTCTTACAAGTCCAGATAGGAACACAGATAATTGTGTGGACGATAGCTTCGCAAACATAACTTCAGCTACGCTAGAGATGAATGTAGATGTTCACACAGAAGGAAATGAGGGAGATGCGCTCATGAGTGAAAGTGAAGCAAACAGAAACACTGGCAGAAGAGAAAATGATGCCGATATCAATGAAGAAACTGATCAATTAGATAACCTGGTTAGTTTCTCCTTGTCTATACAGGACCTTTTATTAACATACAGATCAATTGGATAACCTCTTGTTGGTGACATTTCTTGTGAATTTGTTTGTGATATAGGCGGAATTTGCATCGAGAGAGGTTGCAAGAATGGATCCTTCTACTGTAGAAGAGGATAGCATCCCAGATAAGCAAGGTATTATATCTTTTTCTACCTGCATACCATATTGAAAACTCAAAAACTAAACAAGCAAATTAACGTATCTCCTAACTTAACTGGTACATACTTCTCCACTAACAATCTCAACTCACCTCCAAGTTGTGGCTCGGAGATTTTAATTACGCCGTTATCTTGCCACAGACGAATCCTCAGAATCCCCAAACAGAGCTCCAGAACAATACAACATAACGGATGGATCCTTTGAACATACAGAGCACATTCAAGGACAACATGGAAAGGAAAGTGACAACACAGACACAGCTTGTGAGCTTCAAGTAGAAAATGCTCAGGTAAGTTCTCCATCACTGTTCACTCTGTGTGACCTTGGTACTAAGTCAAGGCCTATTCGTCTTTATAAGGTCTCAATTGTTATTGTTGGACTTTGTCATGTTTTTTCTCTATGTTTATCCTTTTGCAAATAGATGAAGTGTTTTTTTTTTAACTGTAGTACCGTGCTGGATCCTTATATATAAATACACTGAACAGAATCGTTGGATTTTGTTTCTTCTCGGGTGTTTTGTGTTTTTAATAGGTTGTAAGTTTCGTTTTTAGGTTAGTTCAAGTATGATCTTACTTAACAAAACGAGTTATTTGGAATTTTTTCAGCAGGAGGTTCACAACTCTCCACAAAAACAAACAAAGAAACGAAGAAAGGGAGGATCTCGTGATAGCAATATGAAAAAGCGAAGCAAAACCGTGCATGGTGAGAGTGAGGGGGACAAGCAAATGAAAACATCTTCTCATGAAAATGGAGGAAAGAAGCAAAGCAAAGGAAAATCGAAGGAGAGAGAGGAGAAGAAGCAAACGAAAAAAGGAACAACACGTGAGGGTAAAATATTCTCTCGGAGGAAAAGCCTTCTAGGTACGTAGACTTGACAAAGAAACCAAAATGGTATTACTCATGCTTCATAGCTCTATCGATTGAAAATACTAAACGGACACTTTGTTTGTATGTTTGTGTTGCCTCTCTCGAAGCTGCTGGTACTAAATGGGAATCTGGTGTCAGACGAAGTACAAGGATTAAGTCGAGACCACTTGAATACTGGAGAGGTGAAAGATTCTTGTACGGACGTGTTCACGAGAGTAAGTCGCAATACTCTTTTCCACCACTTCGATTTTTGATCCGAGTGGAGTGTTTTTCTATTCATCATGAATTCTCCTTTGTTTTTCAAAAGGTTTGACTACTGTTATCGGCATAAAGTGTGAATCTCCGGGAAATGTAAAAAGCGACAAGCGCGCATTGAAGGTGACATCATATGTCTCTGATGATTACAAAGAGCTGATTGATCTTGTCGCCTTGCATTGAAGGAAGAATATGTTCAAAGCAATCGATCCTCCTTTTTTAGTTTTTATCATAACTCTATTGATGCGTTATCTGTATGATTGTATCTACGACTAGCATAATTTTGGTCCAAACCTGTCACTGTCTTTCTTTCAAACCGCAACTGTTTTTGGACATTCGAAAACGGAACCGTGCGTTTCAACTTTCAGTTGGTTTCTTCTTCCATGATTACAAGTCAAGTTGCCCTTTTCGACGTTGATAAGTCTCCCAGTCTTTTGTATTCTTACGAAGGGAACTTCTTGTGTCCCCACCCTCTCTCCCGAAAAGGCCGCCTTGACTATTATTATAATCTCTTAACTAGACAAATTTTACTTGTATTGGTTATAAATTTAAGGTGATTTGATCCAGACTATATTAACCAAACCAAGGTACAACAATCCTGAAGTTTCTTGTATCGGTTCATGACTCTATTATCTTCAAAGTTCAAACTCAACAGAACTGATTTTGGACTGGACTAAGAATACATCGATTCCTTACTAAATATTGTTTTAAATAACTTTTATCCTTGACTTTATATTGATTAAATTGAAATCCGAAAGAATAATAAGTCGTGGTTTTAGTTCGATAACATTTGTATTTTGATTTTTTTCATACTAGAAGCTAAACAAAAACAAAATGTTCACTCTGATTCAACTGTTTAGACTTTTCAACTTGAGCTCGATCCACTTTTCTTGGATCGTGTCGCGAAAAATAAAAGAAATTGAGTTGGGAATCTCCTTATTGAGTATGGTCCTAATCTTGCATCGTGCTTTTTGTACCACCATTTTTACTTTTTAGGTAATATGCCAATATTGGCAAGAACTCACAAATTTGGAAGAACATAAAAAGCATTTGAATTTCGACTGAGTATATATCCCCTCTTGTCCTGGGGGACCTTTCTCGAATTTCGCCGTCCGCCTTTTACGCTTGACTTCAGGACAAGAACATAAACAAGGAGACAGATGCATAAAAAACGCTCGAGTCTTTCGTTACCTAGCTAGTCTTAAAAATCAAATCTTTAATAATCTCACTGGTCATCGAATAGAGCGATCATACACGTCAGCAAATTGGATAACGATGCATTTGAATTATTATAGTAGAAAAAATGTATTAACAAAATACAAGTTGAAGAAATTCACGGGATAATCTACAGCTTTTTGAAATTTTGATTTGATGTCGACCGTACAAACAAAATATCACGTACTTCTAGCTGACCAAAGATATATTTGGGTTAAACAATTTGGAAAAGTGAAAACAAAACACTGTATTGATATGCCCCCCTGACGTATTCTAAATTTATTAAATACGTAATTCAGTATCATTCGTAATAACCAGTCAAAATAATGCTATATATTGTTCTTTTATCAATACACTATTCTTCAGATTCATTTGGTGTTTTACGATAAATCTTATTTTCTGTTTGTCTTTCTTGCTTGTTTTCTTATCTATGATTCACATTTTTGTTTATTGCGTTGACCTGATGAAGAACCATCCGGCTACGCTTCCTTTTGAGATGTCGACAACGTATCGTTCGTTATTTTTCCAATTATTGCAAGCCAGAGACCGTGTCGTCTTTCCAACGCTTCACAGCCAAAAGCCGTGCCGTTTGGGTTTCTTTTTATTCCACTGTGTGTGCCTCATCGGATCACTTTCATTTTCCAAGATTTATTGATCTTTGTTTGCTCCAAAATGAATATCATCTAGAAGATTAATACTCCATGTTGTGAATCTCAACGGATTGGTCTAGACTCTAGACTAGTGGTGAAAATATACTTTTTTAAAGACCCATTCCAATTATAATCGAGGATATGGAGAGTGGACTATTCAATATGTTATTTTCTTACATTGAATTAAATGCATGAAATTATTCAACTTACAGTACAAGTGTGCATGCGGATATGTTCATGGACTTGGAAATGGTGGACCCTGTAGAACGAGTCCAAGTTGCATGGAACATGCAGTTTCCCAAATTAATTGTATTATTTAACATTCTCGTGTCGTATATCATTATCGGTGAATAAACATTACTTACGCATTATCACGATTATGATAGTTTCATTTTATTGTGAAGAGATATACTACGTTATTGAAACTAGTGTGTTTGAGAGGGATTGAGTTAATTATAGCCATTTTGACGCCCCTACATACATTCTTACAACATGATATGTTTTGCTAGAGGTTTGAAAACTGTTAATAAAAATGAGTATTTATTCGCAATAATAGTTTGAGTTTCTGATAAGAATTTTTGTTCATCGAGTAGAGAAAATGTTTGTCATCTTAATTAACGCTATTTAATGCTGCGCAAGTTAGAAATTTGATAGTAGTGTTCATAGGTAGATGATAGGAATGTAGACGACTTGCATGCAATAGGTAAATGAAAACTATAATGCCCCCGACCGTCCATTCCGGTGAGTTACCTATCCCTCCGTCGGGCTCGTGGGCCCCGTCTCTGTCTGATGGTCGGTGCGTTATTTTTTTCCTGGAGCCTAACCGACTTATTTACTGACCTGTGACCGAAAAGATAAGTGCACTTTGATGACATAGGTAGCCAAATTAATCCATTTAAACTTATTCAAATGGGCTGGGTCCGAGTCGTTACAATTCTCCCCCACTAAACAGGAATTCGTCCCTGAATTCTGATCCCGATAGTGTGAGCCTTAACCCTAAACCTCAAGACAGTCTCCTGGGACAGAACCAGTTTGACTTCCCAGGCTTTAATACCATTTTTCCTGGAGCCCAACCGACTTATTTACTGACCCTGCAACCACCACATGATCTTTCTTCGTGTTTTGGCCTCACTCACACGGTTTCAGGAATCACTTCCCGAAAGGTCACCCATCCTAGTCCTACTCCAGCATAAGCATCCTTAACTGTGGAGTTCTCTTGGGACTTGGACCGAAAAGATAAGTGCACTTTGATGATATAGGTAGCCAAATTAATCCATTTAAACTTATTCAAATAGGTTGGGTCCGGGTCGTTACAATTCTCCTCCACTAAACGGGAATTCGTCCCCAAATTCTGATCCCGATAGTGTGAGCCTTAACCCTAAACCTCAAGACAGTCTCCTGGAATAGAACCAGTTTGACTTTCCAGGCTCTGATACCATTTGTAACGCTCCTGACCGTCAATTACGACGAGTCACCCATCCCTCTGTCGGGCTCGTGGGCCCTGCCTCTGTCCGACGGTCGGTACGTTATTTTTTTTCCGGAGCCCAATCGACTTATTTACTGACCCTGCAATCACCACATGATTTTTCCCTGTGTTTTGGCCTCACTCACACGGTTTCGGAAATCACTTCCCGAAAGGTCACTCATCCTAGTCCTACTCCAGCATAAACACTTTTAACTATAGAGTTATCTTGGGACATGTGATCAAAAAGATAAGTGCACTTTGATAACATAGATAGCCAAATTAATTCATTTAAACTTTTTGAAATGGATCGAGTCATTACAAAAACAAACATATCTTTAGCTGTCTTTTACACGTTTTCCAAGTATGCTTAGGAAAAATAAATTGTGGAGGGGTATTGTTAAATAGATTATGCAGTTGTGTCATTCATAGTAAAATAGATTATGCAGTTGTGTCATTCATAAATATATCGTATTTAATTATAAAGATCTTAGGGCTTTATATATATAAAGCCTTATCTAGAAAGATTCCTGGCGTAAAGCTATATTGGTAGTACTTTTTTGTCTTTGAACAAATATCTCTTTCTTAGAAAATCACACAATATACAAAAGTTAAAACACGTTCGAATGATGCCTACTTTTCGAACAAATGATAAAATTCTAATAAATTATGTATTTCTTGTCTTTTAAACGGCATCTACTATACTTTTTAAAAATGTTTACTCCATATTTAAACTGTGTTGACTCGTTTTTAATTCGACCCAATCAAACGGAGTCCTATATTTTCGTATAGTGTGTCCTTTATTTTCGTATAGTTTTTAATTCGACTCGTATAGTTTTTTTATTATATATATATATATGTTCGGACAGGACATAATACTGTTTTGTTTTTGTTAAAGCCAACAGATCTATAATAGAGTAGGGTTTGGATGGCCATGGAAAAAACTTTACACTAGTTAAATGGTATGAAAATTTGTGATTTTCTATACATATTCAATATGATTACTAGCTTCCTAAATCCTGAATTCTGATGCCTGTTGTCCGAAAATGCTAGAAAATTTGCACTTAAAATCCATAAAATGCTGAAAACCGAACTATATAATCTAACTTAGTTAACTATTGAACCCTTGTTTAATCACATATTCGTACGTGTTTTCTATTTGTTATTTATACAGTTCACACATGTATATTTTCAAATTCATAACCTCATGATTTATGACACAATAGCAGAGTAGTACGAACGATCAACTTGTATAGTTGCTCCAGTCCAATAAGCATCCTAATCCTAGTTTATTGATATGATATAATAATATTAACTGTGGCTATTAACATATAGTAAACCGTCTGAGTGGCTATTGGTTAGCATGTCTTCGAGAACAATTAAGCCACATGTGCTCACATGGACGGACCTTAGTAAAACTATTTTCGAATATTTTAACTACTTATTCTGACTTTTTCATTGTCGTAGTATAGCATTGATTTGGACCCATATGCCAACAAAGTTACGATTTTATATGCATAATATATATCCACTATTACCCCGCTGAATTAATATTTGATTCAGTTTGTCTCCACTTAACCTACAGCGTTTGTAGAACCTTTTTCATTAACGTGGAAGATTATTTCAGTATTTAAATATACACAGTTTAGTCGTTACGGCACACGGTAACATGAAACCCACGTCGAACATCTTAATATTATCAGTTAGATAACTACTAATCCACTCTTCGCGAACCCAACGGATAATTTCAAGATGTTAAACGTGAATAGAGGATCAATCACTTAATTAACATATCATCTCTCCTTTGGATGTTTTTTTTTTCGATTCAATACACAAGTAATCTACAATATATACCATAAAAGGACATGTGGAGTTTTGATTAATTAATTCGTAAAATAGACAGTCGACAAATAGATTAATTAACGGGGCGTTCAATTATCACTAATCAGATTGGTTACAAAACTGCTGGCAGAGCTAAGATTTAACGGCCATCACATCATTCAAGTCCAAGATGTCTCAATTGGTACAACGTCTCCATCATGTAAACCAAAACTGCATATATTAACCGATCGGTACTATCTCCCGAATTCCGTTACCTTCTTCTATCTGTGAAAATTCAGATACGTTTTTAGAACAAATGTTTAATGAATATTAAATAAAAGAGTCCTAAAAGCAAAAGAAGTCAGACAACATATAACTTTTCCCCTTTTTCTTTATGGAAACGTACAATTTACGGGTCTAAAATATACTCACATCTCGAGTCTAACCATTACTTCTTATTAGAACCACGAAATAATAGTGATATCATCACATTTTAACCATATTGTATTTTTAAATTAGCACAATAAAATAAAAGTTCTATTATCGAATTAACAAAAAAATTCCACTTTCAGTTCTAGAAGAGTTTTATCTCCTATATATAAAGTGGCCACACTCTTCTCTCTCACATCATTCATAATTCATATCATTTCTCAGCCTGAGTATTACTATTTTTTCTTTCCTGAAAAATATATTACTGCTTCTCTCTCTCTCTCTTCAATCTTGAAATTTCTATTACAATGGAACTCATCCCTGATCTTCCCGAAACCGTGGCCCGCGAGTGTCTCCTACGCGCCTCCTACAAGCAATTTCCTCTGATCGCCTCTGTTTGCAAAGTCTGGCAGCGAGAAATCAGCCTCCCTGATTTTCTCCGACACCGGAAAGCTTCAGGGCATAGCCAGGAGCTTGTTGTCTTGTCTCAAGCTCGGGTCGACCCGGTTTCAGACCTCGGATCGGGAAAAACAATCCCCACGCCCTTGTATCGGATCTCGGTTCTCGAACCAGCGTCCGGTTTATGGATCGAGCTGCCTCCGGTTCCCGGTAAAGCCAACGGGCTGCCTCTGTTCTGTAGATTAGCTTCAGTCGGGTCGGATCTTATTGTATTGGGCGGGCTTGACCCAGTCACATGGCGTACCTCTGATTCAGTCTTCATCTTCTCCTTCTTGACCTCCACGTGGCGCAACGGGACGAGCATGCCAGGTGGATCACGTTCCTTCTTCGCCTGCGCTTCGGATTCGCAACGGAACGTGTTCGTGGCGGGTGGACACGACGAAGACAAGAACGCGCTGACGTCAGCTCTCGTGTACGACGTGGCAGAAGATCAATGGGCCATTCTGCCAGATATGTCCCGTGAGCGAGACGAATGCACGGCGATTTTCCGCGCTGGCAAATTCCACGTCATAGGTGGTTATGCCACGGATGAACAAGGGCAGTTTAGTAAAACCGCTGAGTCGTTGGACGTTACCACGTGGCAGTGGACCTCACGGTCGGAAGATTTCCTCTCTTCGGGGATGACTACGTGGCCTCCGGTCTGTGCTGCCGGGGAAAACGGAGAACTTTACGCTTGTTGTCGTCGTGATCTGATGGTGATGAGAGATGACACGTGGCAGAAAGTTTCAAATCTTCCTGCTGACGTGTGCAATGTGTCCTACGTGGCGGTAAGGAGGTCCGGGGAGCTGGTCGTGATCGGTTCGGCTCGGTACGGAGAACCAAGCGTAGGGTATAATTGGGATACGAGCAATTCTCGATGGGTAAAACTGGAAACACATGAAAAATTTGAAGGTCACGTTCAAGCTGGTTGTTTCTTAGAGATTTAAAAAATGGTGTTTCGAATCTTTCGGGACGTCGCTCATACGTGATAACGCATAAATTGGTCGGTTGGTTTTTCGGTGTGACTGTACAAATATTCCATACTTGTAAGAAAAAGTTATAAGCATGACTGTAAATTTTTACTGTTGATTGTTTTTACCTTTTTGTGTGTTAAAAGATTGTTGTGCGATGTTACTCAAATTAGCAGTTGGATCTTTTAACTTGCATTATTGAATGGGGTCCGAAAGCCAAATAAGTCTCTCTCTTGATCCATAGAAGATATCGCTTGAAAGGACAAAAGTATCGATGATTAATATGTTGGTCAAGTTTCGTGTTAAATTTGAATACTTAACAAGCATCCTAGTAATAATAGAAGCCCGTAAGAGTGTTTGGATCTCACTATATTCACCTTCCTCTCTTTCGTTCGCTTTTCATCTTGGTTTTTGATACTTTGATATATACAAATACGATTTGATTGTTTTTTGTTTTTTGTGTTTAAACGATTTGATTGTTCTACTTCTTACTCTTGTATTAACTTAGGTTATAGTTCGTTTTCTTTTACCTTAACTGGTTTGTTCACTGCAACATAATTAACTCTTACTCTTGTATTATTCCCCCCCCCCCCCCCCCCCTGCTCACTTGAATTATGTAGTCCATGGCAACAAAAAGGTAGTGAACTTTTAATTGGGCTGGAAATGGAGACTTCATCAATGTTTATTGGGCTTAGAGTTTTTTTGTTGAACTTAAGGATTAAAAGAGTCTTAACAATAATTTATAGATTTGATGATATCTAGATCAGTATCCAACGACTCCAATACGACCAAAATACCGTATATATAATAAACCCAAACCATGGCTCTGTTTTTTTTTATTATATATCAACAAAACAATAAATTAGATATAAAAATTAAACTTTGTTTGTTTTTCTGTTTGGTAGTTTTCGGCCGAATTGAAACCCTAAAAACTTCTCATCCTTCCTATAGCTATAGCTCATAGGTAGAAGATCTGATGGAATATGTAAACGAAGTAGATGGGATGAAGAGACATTGCAAGCGTAAAACAGAGGTTCCAAAGAAATATTTGTAGAAATATAGTTGTATTTTCATGAACCCATTAACATGTTACTGAAGCCCAAATACTTGGGTTGGGTCAGAGCTCATAAAACAGTCAGATAGAGACCCGTTTAAAATGTTAAATGTAGAGCGGAGTGGTCGAGATAAAAATAAACGAATAAATGGTTTGGCGGGCATTTCTGCAAATGCTGACGAATCTCGAATATTCCTTATATTATCTGTCATTTCCCTTTCTTTGATAAAACTACGAAACAAAAGAAAAGAGGGACAAAATCTTGAGTTTGCATTATAATTGTTATTATTCCAAAATATTTGATAGAAAATTGATTTTGAGCGTAAATTTTGATATTTACAACATAAAAAATTGGTTTTTTAAAACGGATGAACGAGTTAATTAGACTATAGTTCTGTCAAGACAGATGTGAAAACAAGCTACCCGGACTTGTGTCGGTGAGACCGAATCAGACGAATTGTTTAGAGAGAAATATGGAACGTCGGATCAGAGGGACCCATACACCCACCAATCCAAGGGTCGCGATCTATTTGAGGTGGTAATGGACCCCACTTACCCGCAGGAATATTATGGGACCGCTCCTTAACTCTTGCAAGGTCACTTGGTTTGGTGTAGTAGCAGTAGTGTAGTACTCTTGTAATCCCTCTCTTCTCTCTTCAAGATAAAGCGATAAACATACACAATTATTATTTTAATACTTCATTTCCCCAAGATTTGCTATTTACGCCAAAAAAAAAAAGAAGAAATCTAGATATTATACGTTTATAGATACCAATAAGTATAAGTATCTCACACTACTTGATGGATTAAAAAATTAAAACGGAATAAATAAAAGACCCCGTGTTCTCAAAATATATAATTCACATCAGTAAATCAAATAATTCAACATCACCTAAAAACAACCCATCCATGACTTTAATTTAATGAAAACAAATATATATATATTTCTATAAAAAAACAGTTCATCTGTACATTTTTTTCTTCATTAGTTCAGTGTCATTTTTTAATAGAGTTTTTCTACGAATTTTAAAAAGATAGATTGATGATACTTATCATCGTTTTTATGGCATACTAGACGAGATCAAATTTTGGTGGGTTTTGTTTGCCTTAATTATAAAACAATATAATTACGATAGCGACGAATATCATCTACTCATTTAATGAAAAAGTCCGAATTATATATGTTACCGTGTAAAATCATTCGCATCATTTTTTAATCAATTAGTGTTACTTTAATTAGTTGGGTTGGTTTGAATTCTACGTTAACGTCTCAGCACTTTGGGTAACCTATATAAATTATAAATGAAGGAAACTAAATTGTGAATGAAAGATGATAATAATAGATAGAGAAGTCGTACTGTCAGCCACATAAGTAGGACAGATTTTTATTAAGTGGTAATTTTTACGGATTGATTAGCAACCTGCAAAAAGGGTACAAAGATAAAGCATGAGTGGTCACTACTCACTGATACAATAAAAATAATCTAATGCTAACAAAATAAATTTTAAGTTAAGATATTTTTAAAAAGAGTATTTATTTATCCGATTGGAGGGTTGCACACCATTCAATACAATATAAATACGTCATATCCGCTCGAAAAGGCCTCCGCTATATCCTCCTCTCATTAGTCATTCACTCTCCAATTTTTTCTTATTCTTCTTCTCTACTCAGAGAAAATATCTACATACGATAGGGTGCACCGTATCTTGTTTTATTATACCTCTCTCCTATGAAGATTTTTTTTTGTTTTTATAATCCAACCTAATCGAACAAATGCCATAATAAATTAGAACATCGTCGAATCAAGTTGCGAAAAGTACTGTAGAATCGATTCCATGAGACGAATATGAGCTTTTATTCCACTTTAAAAATGATCCAAAACTGAAAAAAGGTCGAATATGTTTTAAAATATTATTGTGACACCTAGATATTCAATCGGCACACTCATATACAGTACATAATTAAGTAAGAAATTAATATATCTATGTGGAAAATATGATGAGAATTTAATGATAAACTTAAAAAATAAATAATGATATATGTACGTTAATAAATAATATATCATGGATAATGATGATAACATTCACATTCAGTCATCTGACTTTATATAATTACCAAATATTTAAAGGAAAGTAATTAATCATACCACGTAGACGATTGCTACGAATCAGAAGAGCCGTAATCGTGTACTTCACAATCGGACGTACATAAGCGCATCGATGTGTCTCTTGCCCTAATATCAACGGTGACGATGGACTAAACCGTTACTTGGCTTTCGTGTCGGATAAGTGCAGGTAGATGATTAGGATAGTACATTCCGACAATTTAGAGCGTCGAGTCCACGCGCCTTGGTCAGAGTTGATAGATGAAAGAGTAAAAACCGAGGGTGTAGCGTAAAGAACGGTGTAACTAACTGCACCGGATTCCAACCTTCGTTGTGGATGGAGCATCCAAAGAGAAGAGAGGTAGTGTTATAAAACGACACGGTATCCTCACCGATTTACGCCTCATTTCCTCTCATCGAAACATTTTCCATCTCTTTCTCTGTGTTGTTGTGTCTCGCGCGTTGCGCTTATCTTCGTTTTTTTTTTCTTTTTCTTTCACTCTTTTTTCTCTCTATTCAGTGGAGGAGATGGTGGCGGCTGCGTTTCTTCCGGAGCTCTGGACGGAGATCCTGGTGCCTGTTTGTGCGGTGATCGGCATCGCCTTTTCTCTCTTCCAATGGTTCATCGTCTCTCGCGTGAAAGTCTCCGCCGACCAAGGCGCATCGTCTTCCGGCGGGTCCAACAATGGGAAGAACGGCTACGGTGACTACCTTATCGAGGAAGAGGAAGGTCTCAACGAGCAGAGTGTCGTCGCCAAGTGCGCCGAGATTCAGACCGCTATTTCCGAAGGTAAGATCTCGCGAAACTCGATCCAGATCTCACTCTACTTTTGTTAGATCTAGCTCTGTTTCATTCGATAAGGATGTTTTTGGAATGTTAGAGAACCTGTGACTACTAATCTAGTGTCTTATAGATTCCCGAGTGATGCTGTGTTATGGATTCTATTTTTGTCGACGAAAGTGGAATAACTTTTGGGATCTGTTTGTTGGTGTGTTGGGAACAGGTGCAACTTCGTTCCTGTTCACGGAATACAAGTACGTTGGTGTCTTCATGGTTTTCTTTGCTGCTATAATCTTTGTTTTCCTCGGCTCCGTCGAGGGATTCAGCACGAAGAACAAGCCCTGCACCTACGACAACACCAAGACTTGCAAGCCTGCATTGGCCACTGCAGCTTTCAGCACCGTCGCCTTCGTGCTTGGCGCAGTCACCTCTGTTCTCTCTGGTTTCCTTGGGATGAAGATTGCCACATACGCTAACGCTAGAACCACCTTGGAAGCAAGGAAAGGTGTCGGAAAGGCCTTCATCGTTGCGTTCAGGTCAGGCGCTGTGATGGGTTTCCTTCTTGCTGCCAGTGGTCTCTTGGTGCTCTACATCACCATCAATGTCTTCAAGATCTATTACGGAGATGACTGGGAAGGTCTTTTCGAGGCTATCACTGGTTACGGGCTTGGTGGGTCTTCCATGGCTCTCTTTGGCCGTGTTGGTGGTGGAATCTACACTAAAGCAGCTGATGTGGGTGCTGACCTCGTCGGTAAAATCGAGAGGAATATTCCAGAAGACGATCCAAGGAACCCAGCTGTAAGTGCATCTTTTCACTGTGTGATAAGGTTTTGTTATCGCTTTTCTGTCTTGAAAGGTTTTTTTGACTTGATTTTGTCGGTTATGTGTACAGGTCATTGCTGATAATGTGGGTGACAATGTTGGTGACATTGCTGGTATGGGATCTGATCTCTTTGGGTCGTATGCTGAAGCTTCGTGTGCCGCCCTCGTTGTTGCTTCGATCTCTTCCTTTGGAATCAACCATGACTTCACTGCCATGTGCTACCCTCTGCTCATCAGCTCAATGGGTATCTTGGTTTGTTTGATCACTACTCTCTTCGCCACCGATTTCTTTGAGATCAAGGCTGTTAAGGAGATTGAGCCGGCGTTGAAGAACCAGCTCATTATCTCAACTGTCATCATGACTGTTGGAATTGCTGTTGTGTCATGGGTTGGCTTGCCGTCTTCCTTTACCATCTTCAACTTTGGAGCACAAAAAGTTGTCAAAAACTGGTAAAGATCCTTCTTTGCAGATAATCTTTATGGTTGCTTTTTTACTCTTTTCTCTCTGCATTTCTGGATTGAAACCTCATCTAATACTTGCATAATTCTAATTCTGGTGCACAATTTTGGATTCCAGGCAGCTATTCCTCTGTGTTTGTGTTGGTCTTTGGGCTGGACTCATTATTGGTTTTGTCACTGAATACTACACTAGCAACGCCTACAGGTTCGAAGCTACTTTCACCATATTTGATTTCCATCGTTTTTTCCAGCTAGTAGACAGACTCTAATATATCCGTTGTTCTTGCAGCCCCGTTCAAGATGTCGCAGATTCATGCAGAACTGGTGCTGCAACCAATGTTATTTTCGGACTGGCTCTTGGTTACAAATCCGTCATTATTCCAATCTTTGCAATTGCCGCCAGTATCTTCGTTAGCTTCAGCTTTGCTGCTATGTATGGTGTTGCCGTTGCTGCTCTGGGTATGCTCAGTACCATCGCCACTGGTTTGGCAATTGATGCTTACGGTCCCATCAGTGACAATGCTGGTGGTATTGCTGAAATGGCTGGAATGAGCCACCGCATTCGTGAAAGAACCGATGCTCTTGATGCGGCCGGAAACACCACTGCCGCTATTGGAAAGGTACACGGCACTCTAAAACCGCTTTCTGCTGCTTGGTTACTTGTTTTATAAATGCCCTTAGGTTGCCTTTGCTTTTGATGTAATATGACATGTAATTCTGATATGTTCTGTACAGGGATTTGCTATTGGATCTGCTGCTCTAGTCTCCTTGGCTCTGTTTGGTGCCTTTGTGAGTCGTGCAGGTGTCCACACCGTTGATGTTTTGACCCCTAAGGTTATCATTGGACTGCTTGTTGGTGCGATGCTTCCTTACTGGTTCTCAGCCATGACAATGAAGAGTGTGGGAAGTGCAGCTCTTAAGATGGTTGAGGAAGTTCGCAGGCAGTTCAACACCATCCCTGGACTCATGGAAGGTACCGCGAAACCCGACTATGCCACATGCGTCAAGATCTCCACCGATGCTTCCATCAAGGAAATGATCCCTCCTGGTTGCCTCGTCATGCTCACACCTCTCATTGTTGGATTCTTCTTTGGTGTTGAGACTCTCTCTGGTGTTCTCGCCGGCTCTCTTGTTTCCGGTGTTCAGGTATATATATATATTTTTGTTTATCAATTCTCTTGTGAATAACTAACTGTTCTTAAACCATATGCTCATCCACGTTCTTGTTTCATGGAAACAGATTGCCATCTCTGCATCTAACACTGGTGGTGCCTGGGACAACGCCAAGAAGTACATTGAGGTACAGAGACGATATTTCTAATTAGCTTATTAAATCAATACCATTTTTAAGAGAGGAAATCAAATCCTTAACCATTTGGTGATTTATTTGCAGGCGGGTGTATCAGAGCACGCAAAGAGCCTTGGGCCAAAGGGATCAGAGCCACACAAGGCAGCTGTGATAGGAGACACCATTGGAGACCCATTGAAGGATACTTCAGGACCTTCGTTGAACATCCTGATCAAGCTCATGGCTGTTGAGTCTCTGGTCTTTGCTCCCTTCTTTGCCACTCACGGTGGTATCCTTTTCAAATACCTTTAAACTCAGCCCTGAGTGAAGAAGAAGAAGATGATGAAGAAGAAGATGATGATGATGATGATGAAGAAGATGATGAAGGATTTCGATTCAAAACTCTCTTTTTTACCATTCTTATTTTCGTTTTGCGTAGGTGGTTTAAAAACCTTTTTTTGTTGATGGGGATCATTTAAAGAACCAAACAAATGATGTTTCTCTCTCTCTGTTTCTCTCTTTTTGTGCTGTCTAGATTTTAGAAATCCACCAAAGTACTTGAGACTTGTTTTTAGCCGTTACTTCTGCTTCTTTGTTTTTGTCTTGTTGGAGACGAATGAGAGAGTTGATAACCGGTCTTTTGTCGGCTTTGGCGAGTGAAAAAATTCTCAAAATCTGTGTTACTTCGTTCATGTCATTATTATTAGACAAACAACAAATTCTCAAATCTAGCTTTTAACTAAGACCCACGAAGCGCCTCGGCTCCTGCCACAATCTCCAGCAACTCCCCAGTGATCTTAGCCTGTCTCTGACGATTGTAAGCCACCGTCAGATTCTTCTTCAACTCAACCGCGTTATCAGTCGCATTACTCATCGCGCTCATCCTCGACGCGAGCTCGCTCGCTAAAGACTCCTGCAGTGCCCTTAAAATCTGACTGTTCAAATACAAAGGCATCATCGCATCAAGAATCTGAACAGGGTCTTGCTCAAACTGCATCAATGGAGAAATCTCAGGTTTCTCAGCTTCAAGCTTCGTCCTTTCCACAGCTAGTTTCCCGTCTTTGCTCGTTAGCCTAAACATCTCATCCTCCATAGCGTCGACACACTCTCCTTTCACATCACAAGACTCTCCTTTCATCGACAGTGGCAACAGAGTGTGGATCACAGGATCAGATTTCACCAAAGACACAAACTTTGTGTAGACAAGCTCGACTTTATCCACCTCTTCGCTCACAAACAAGGAAAACACATCATCTGCAATAACCTGAGCTTCTTTTGCCGTCGGGAAAACCCCTCCTCCTTCGATAAATTTGTCCACGTCGACATCGTCTCTCCGACTAAAATACGCATTCCCTTTCTTACCAACGCTGATCAAAACACAGCTGATTCCTCTTTGCTTCAGCTCTTGAACCCGTAGATTAGCCTTCTTGATCACTGCATTGTTGAAACCACCACACAAGCCTTTGTCACCAGTGACAACAACCAAGGCAACTCTCTTCACGGGTCTAACGATGCTCAGAGGAAAGTCGATATCTTCCAACTGAGCGCACTGGTTGATCGAGTGGAGAACCCCGACGAGTGTTTCGGTGAAAGGTCTACAATTGATGACTGCTTCTTGAGCTCGACGAACCCTAGCCGCCGCCACCAGTTTCATTGCCTCCGTTATCTTCTGCGTGTTCTTCACACTGTCGATTCGTTCTCGCAACTCGCGGATTCCAGCTCGAATCTGTATCGATTGAAACGGAGATCTCGGTGAAATCCGATCTTGGCTCCGTGATTGAAATGGATAATACCGGAATGGTTTTAAGGTGGCCAGGAAAGAGAAGGAGTCTGAGCCCGAAACCGATTTCGAATTCGAAGGAGATGACAAGAGCCACGAGGTCGAGATCGAACCTACCATTTTCTTTTGGAGAAGAAGAAGAGCTGGAAGGTTTAAGCTTTTCGATTCTCCTCCTCACTGAGGAAGAAAAAGCGTAAAGACAAAGAGTTTTAGGGGCTTTTTCTAATTATCTTGTTTATGAGAGGCTATTATATAAAGATACTACAAATAGAGTTTCCCTATGAAAAACGAGGGAAGAAAAATCATTACCCCAAATAGCAATTATGAAGGAGACGTAAGTAGTCTCGATTCATAGGACTCGGTTGTATTTGTCTCATACCTGAAACACACGGGGCAAAACTTACCGACCAATATTTAAGGGAAAAATAAATTGATAACCAAAACTTTGATCACTATCGTCAACAAATAAATTTTGATTTGTATTACTGAATACAGTATATGCTAAAAATTACGGACAAGTAAAACTCTACTCTGATGCAAAGTTTATTTGGAATTACTTCTGGTTATGAAACGAGTTATGTTATAAAATCTAGGAACAACAAAACGAGCAATTCAAAACCAAGACTTAGAGTAAACAGTTAAGAATCAAAACATCACAATGAATAATTTTCTGCAATTGTTCATAACTGGTATCACTGACATTTGACAATTAAAACAAACAGAATCATAGTATTTTTTCTTTTATCGAAACATTTAAATATTACACTTCAAGATATATATGTTTGTAGCTAATGTTGTTGAAATTCTTAAATATTAAGTTCTGCAGAATTTTGTGACAGACTAAAACATAAAGGATGGTGTAATTGTGGAGTATTTCCTTAAAGATATATATTTTTAAAAAATTTTGACCTGATTATTTCATTTCGTTAATGGTCCTTGTGGTTGTGCTGTTATTTAGGCAATGGAAATTCATCAGATTTTGATTATTTTTTATATTTGAATTTTGGGGAGGGGCTCGTAGCTTCTCCTCTTATTGCTTCGTCTTCCTCTTCCGTTCTCGCAGAATCTCTCAGCTCCAGAGTTTGTGGCCTTTGCATTTGACCTACTCCTAAAATCAACGACAATCTTCCTCCACCACACAATGTTGCTCCAATTCTCACCAACGAAACCCCTCTTTTCTCCACCCAATCTCCGCCGGAATTCACCCGCATTCCTCGTTTCTCCGCCGAGATCCCTCCGCATTCGAGCCATCGACGCCGCCCAGATCTTCGACTACGAGACCCAGCTCAAATCCGAGTACCGTAGATCCTCTGCCCTCAAAATCGCCGTCTTGGGTTTCGGCAATTTCGGTCAATTCCTCTCAAAAACCCTAATTCGACACGGCCACGACCTAATCACCCACTCCCGCTCCGATTACTCCGACGCCGCCAGCTCGATCGGCGCTCGATTCTTCCATAACCCTCACGATCTGTGCGAACAGCATCCCGACGTCGTACTCCTCTGTACCTCAATCCTCTCCACAGAAGCCGTCCTCAGATCGTTCCCATTCCAACGGCTCCGTCGCAGCACGCTCTTCGTCGATGTTCTCTCCGTCAAGGAATTCCCGAGGACCCTCTTCCTCAAGTACCTCCCAAAGGAATTCGACATCCTCTGCACTCACCCGATGTTCGGACCCGAGAGCGGGAAGACTTCCTGGTCCGGCTTGCCCTTTGTCTACGACAAGGTGAGAATCGGAGACGAAGCTTGTAGAAACGAGAGGTGTGACAAGTTTCTGAGGGTTTTCGAGAACGAAGGCTGTAGGATGGTGGAGATGAGCTGCGAGGAGCACGATAAGCACGCCGCTGGGTCGCAGTTCGTGACGCACACGATGGGAAGGGTGTTGGAGAAATTCGGGGTCGAATCTTCGCCGATCAACACCAAAGGGTACGAGACGTTGCTGGATTTGGTGGAGAACACATCCAGTGATAGCTTCGAGCTCTACTACGGCCTCTTCATGTATAACCAGAATGCTCTTGAACAGCTAGAGAGACTGGACATGGCCTTTGAATCCATCAAGAAGGAGCTGTTTGGGAGATTGCATCAGGTTTACAGGAAGCAAATGTTTGGTGAGGCGGCTCACTCCGCTAAGAAAACAGAGCAGAAAATGCTCAACGATGGTGGTGCTGTTCCGACCAAAGAGAGACCACCATCATCTTAAAAATCACAAGTTGTAGGGTTCGGTGGATTTTGTTAGTGTCGGAATAAAAATGAAAGTTGTATCCTTTTGGCAAAAACACAAATGTGAAAAAAAAAAAAAAAGGAGTTTTGGTGTTATCATTTTGCTCTCTATGTTCAGACTAATGTATCAATGGAGCCATACATTTTCATATATCCAGTAAGAAGAGAGCACAAAAAGTATCATTTATACCAAAAATAAGTAAGAAGAGAGCACAAGAAGTAGAAATCCTTTTTTTTTTGGACAGTTTGGTTTTGAGTTGGTGTGACAGAAAGGGGCTCACTTCGGCTTCAATGATAAGTGGGCAGAATATGTTCTTAATTCAGCTTTTTTCAGCCTGAGTGTCAAATTTTGAACAGCATTTCTTATTTTGGGAACGCTTTTACATATATTCCATCCTTGGCTTCATATTGAAAGAATTCTCTATTGACTAACTGACAGAAACTGGAATGATACATAAATGTGTATGTATGTTTTTTGATAAAATATTTGTTCCTATAATCAAACCAAGCAAGCTCTGAAACCCATCTCTAACTCCTCCCGGTTCAAATTCTTGCCGATGAAAACGATCTTGTTGACTCGTGTCTCATCTTTCCTCCATAACCGGTCTGGTGATCCTTCAAATATTTCATGAACTCCCTGCCCCAACCATCAAAAACCCACAGACGTGAGACAGAATTATTAAATCAGAAGGAAGCTTTCAACAGTCGAAATAATATAAAAGACAGGTCACCTGAAACACGAATCTCTCGTCCATGCCTTGGACAGCGAGGATACCTTTCATTCTGTAGATATCCTCACAACGCTGGTACAATAGCGCCCCAAGCCACATGTTAGCCTGATCCATTGTCAAAACTGAGGTTAGATGATGCAGGTAATCAATCGCATATCTAGAATTAATACAAGACAGTTTTAATGCTATACAACTTGAGCCATATTGTGCTATACCTTCTCGAGGTCTAAGTCTCCTTCGCAAACTATGCTGACTGAAGCAACACCAGGGTCATGTGTGTGATCATGAGAATGATGATGCTCTGCGGTTTCACAAGCAAACTAATCAGTCCATGTAGGCCATGAGTATTAAGTAACAAGGCCTTGCTTTTGTAACCATATATCATACCGTGTTCATGATCATGCTCATTGTGGTGATCATGGCAGTCATGACCATGGTCATGGTCATTGTGATGATCATCATGAGACTCGTGATCTTCCTTCTCTTCTTCATTCACAGAGCTCTCAATTCTGGAAAAACAAAACAGTTAGCCACCTCAACAACAATTGTACCGTAACAAATGCATAGAGCTACGTACACCTCAGTTGACTCGTAATACGATATTTGTAAGACGCAGAAAGAAAACAGACCTTTCTAGATCAAAACCTCCAATACCAAGGACATAATCCAAGTCAACCTTGCCGTACTTTGTCTGCTTCATGTGAGCCATGCTGTTTATGGTCTGAAAACAACCAGAGCTTAAATGTTAACGCAGGGAAAAGAGAATAAAATAGATGTTAAAAGAGAAAGAAGAAGCAGAACCTACCTTTATCCGCTGCATCACTGACCCTAGTTCTGGCTCACCAACAAGATCAGTCTGCAACAAAGTACAAACGTTTTTCAGCTTGTATGACATGTAGAGGAACAACAATACATAGCAGACCATCGAGAAGTTTCCGCTACAAGCATCCTGATGATGCTAATCATGGAAATGTAACTTCACATACCTTGTTAACTATGATACGATCCGCGTAAGCTATTTGTTCAACCGCCTCATTGACATATCCTTCGGGTTTGACCTCATCTAGATGCAAACGAGCATGCTTAGCATCGACCAAAGTGACAACCCCGTCCAGTTTCACATCATTGAAAATATCATCCTCAGCATAGAATGTTTGAATAATCGGGGCTGGGTTCGCCAGTCCTGAAAAAGAAAATTACACATGAAAATATATTCATTACTCGCTCCCCAAAATCTTATAAGAATCATGTAGCTCTAAAGATTAATTCAACTGAAACAAAAAGATGGGCTAATGACCTGTTGTCTCAATTACTATATGGTCGAATCTTCCTTTCTTCTTCTTGACCAATTCAGAAATCATCCTCACGAGATCACCTCTAACTGTGCAACACAGACATCCATTGTTGAGCATTATTATATCCTCTGCTCCCGCAGTTTTAGCAGCCACGAGCGATCCATCAATGTCCACTTCACCAAACTGAGAAATTCACATTAAGCACGAGATTAGAAATCATAGTTTCAAAAGACATCCTTTTTCTTCTCAGACACACAGATTAATACAATACCTCATTCTCGATAACCGCGATGCGCTTCCCATGATCTCCCGTCAATATATGATTTAGCAATGTCGTCTGGTCACCAAGAAACAAACAAAACCCATGAAAACCAACATTTGCTCACTGAAAATGGAGCAGTAGACTGAAAAATTAAACAAGAAGCCTCACCTTGCCAGAGCCCAAGAACCCGGTGATTATAGTGGCCGGGATTCGATTGTCAGGCGCAATCTCAGTGGAAACATCGAAGGAATCTTCGGTATCCACAACCGCCAGCGAGGAAGCAGAGGCAAAGGCGGGGTAGTATCTCCGACGGCTGTCAGAGTAAACCGCCGCGGGATATAACGGCGACGGCTTCGTTCTGACGGAAACTGTGGCCCTCCTGCGAGTAGCAGAAGCGAACCGATGGTTCAACGCCGTATGGGCACGGGGGCTGTTGAAAGCAAGGAAACTAGGGGCTATGTCGAGTCTTAAAAGCGTCGCCATTGTTGTTTAGGGTTTAAGGTGTCGCCTGAAAATTAGACCTGAGAGATAGACATTTGCTCTCCCTTGGCACTTCTGAATTTTACGTTTTGCTTTAATTGTTTCGGTTGGATCCAACGGTCGAGATTTTTCGCTGTATTCATGCGTCCAAAACAAAGAGAATGAAACTTTGAGTAACCGATAGAGATATATTGATTTTCTTATATATGCAGATCATAATAAACTAAGGTTGATCAATCTCATGTTATAAAAAGTAATTTTGAATCTACATAAATAATTTAATCCAGCTTATATATTCCACCGATATCAACTCAATTTCAATTGCTAACAAACTATTCTCATTAATATGATTTGTAACAAAAGAAAAGTAATTTGTTAAATAGATTTTGGACATATTTCTACAATTTACATATATAGCGATAATAAATAAGAACATAGTTTCTTTTTGGTTCACAGGAAAAAAAAAAGAAAGAACATCGTTTCTTTTTCTGGATGTAAATACTTGTTTAAACTCTATTTAAAACTTGTATTTCTATTAATATTCTTGTTATAATTCCTCTAGAAAAACCATATCGAGTTCCTAAATATATTAATTATAATAGTTTTAAGATGAAAATTTATAGAATACAAGGATATCACACAAAATTAAATCAATAAAAAATATTAAAAAAAGAAATAATAATAGCTAAGCTATTTTTTCTGTTTAATATATGTTAGATACTTTAAAAAAACAAAGATTTATTTAATTTTTCTGTCATATTTATTGAAATCGATTTTTTATATTATATATAAAAAACTTAAGTATTAATTGCAAATTTAAATAATTAGAGATTTTTTTGTTTGATTGCAAAAAAATTGTGTTTGGTTGCAAAAATAAATTATTTAAGTTTTTAACTATTATTGAGATTTAAAAAATTTAAAATTTTAAAATAATAACACATAAACCACTAATATTTCCTGGTTAATATATATTAGATTTTTATAAATATTATTCAAAAAGTCATTTAACTACTCAGCTAAGCTTTTAAAATTTCTTTGATAGAATGTTTGGTTATACTTTTGAAAAGTATTATTTATTTGCATGTCAACATGTAGTTTGATTAATCATTTTCAAAAGTATAACCAAACAACTGCTGAATGATTGAACAAGTTTTTGAACAATATTTGTAAAAATATTTCATAAATGTTTTTCTCATTACATTATAATTAATCTATTTAGAAGTTTGATATAGTTTTTGTAAGGATAATTGATGACTAACTTGAAGTTTTAAATTTACAAAAATATAATGAATATAATTAACCAAATTATGCGTCGACATGTTCAAATTTATAATGTTGAGAAAAAAAATTTGATATAAGTTTTAAAGAGGTTTGACGCTGTTAAATATTTTGATGATCCATAGAAAGATTTCCGACGAGAAAATAGGGACTTCCAGCGAGAAAATAAAGATTTCGTGGAAAGATTTATATGATTGGAAAAGAAGAAGAAATTTTTTTTTGAGAGTTTAGGATTCGTCGATTATATTTATTTATAATTTTTTTAAAAGAAAATAAAAATATCTATTAGCGTATCTCGAAATATCATAACTTTTGTAATCTATCAAATTTTCAGATGAGAAATTCATTCAAAATTTGAAAAAATTATTTGTTCACATGTTTGTATGTAGTTTGGTTAATTCTATTTATTGCATTTTTGTAAATTTAAAACTTCAAATTAAATGCTAATTATTCTCTACAAAAACCATATCAAATTCTTAAATAGATTAATTATAATAGTAATAAGATAAAAATTTATGGGATATTTTTACAAATAAAAATATTTTTTTTGGTTTTTGTTGTTCGAAAACTCTTTCAATCACCCAGTCAAGTTTCATTTTAAAAATTTGTGTATCTTAAATTTTGTTATATTTGTTTATTCATTAAAAAAAACAATTTGAGGCTTTTTATTTTTACTTCTGAACATAGATTTTGAGTTCTCTTCTCTCCTACAAAATCAGGAATATATATTTTTTGTTCATCTACATTATTTTCCTCCAAAAATCAAAACCTAGTTTATCTAATTACTTTTAAACAAAAATCCTCAAACAGAAACCACAGCAATAACAACAAAAAATCTAAGAAATAAAAACACTTACAAAATATAAATAAAAATCTGCATCCATTAGCCTAGGTTTCCCACTTATATTTCTACATGTACGTGTAGTGGGATTCAACCACTGCTACTCCAAAATCATGGTTAAATTGTTTATAAATAAAACCTATAGAGGAATTAAAACAAGAATATTAGTAGATCTGCAAGTTTTGAATAGAGTTAAACAAGTATTTACATCCAGAAAGAAAACGATGTTCTTTCTTTTTTCCTGTGTACCAAGAAGAAACTATGTTCTTATAGCACTCTATATTTAAATTGTAGAAATATGTCCAAAATCTATTTAACAAATTACTTTTTTTTTGTTGTTACAAAACATATTAATGAGAATAGTTTGTTAGCAATTGAGTTGATATCAGTGGAATATACAAGCTGGATTAAATTATTTATGTAGATTCAAAATTACTTTTTATTCCATCAATATGAGATTGATCAACCTTTTGTTTTTGGTATGAATGTTAAGATAGATTTGATCAACCTTAGTTTATGATATGCATATATAAGAAAATCAATATATCTATCGGCTACTCCAAAGTTTCATTCTTCTTGTTTTGGACGCATGAAAACAGAAAGAAAATTCTCGCTGATTCTGAATTAATGCAGAAAACTAAGAACTTCCCTATTTTAAAATTACAAAGCAAATCTGTGGATTATTATTAGAGTACTTCTACAGAAATTCGAAGTACAGTGGTCTCTGTAATACAGGTTTTAGGGAGATTTTTGCCCCGAATAAAAGAATAAAATCAATCAACATAAATTATAAAAATCGCTGAAATATCAAGCGGGGTCCACCCTAGGTGGGACCCGCGACCTTCTTTATTCTTCCATCTTATCTCAAAACGCATTTGATTGCCCCAAACCTACCTCCGTACCACCCTAAGGGTGATTCACCTTACACGTGGCGTGCGATAGTAGGTTCAGAACCAGGCTCGGCTCACGGCCACTTTGCACATTTCTATACTCCTTCCTTCCTTCTCTCTTCCTTCCTCACCGTCTCCTCAAATTCACGACAACTAAAAAAAGGTTTGATCAAAGAGAACACTGTTAAACCCCCAGAAAGTTTCCTAATCTGCGATCGATCGCCGCCGCAATGATCAGGTACGTATCGTCTTTTCTCTGTTGGGTTCGCGGGGGATGAACTAGTTACAAAGTTTACAAACTGTTTCCTGGAGAAACAGTTCCTTTATACTGCTTCCTTTTACTCTTTCTCGATTATTAAGCTATCAATCTCTTTGAATTAGGTTTACTTTTTTGGTTTCTGGGTTTTACATGGTAGGAATCAAAACCCTTCGTGTAGTGTCGATTCACACTTATCTCTTCTGTTGTAATCATTTCTTGTGGCTGTTTCTATCCGATTGACGTGATGTTTGAACCACTGCATCGTTTATTCGATGAGTTTCTATAATTGCCTCTTTTTCGATTGTTTCAGCCTCTGAAGAAGATTGATGATTTTGGGCTACTTCATCATGGGAGGAGCTTGTTCAAGGAAGAGAGATCAGCAAGTCGAGGATATTTTAAACAGAGGTGTCTCTGGAAAATATAGCAAGAGCTCAAGTTCTAAATGGTTGGCGACTTCGCTCTCTAGGTCCGGCTCCGATGTTAAACGGAGGAATGGAGAACGCCCATCGCTTCTCGAGCTCTGTGTCCGCAAGATACACGAGGTACATCGATTTACACTTTCCAGGCTTTAGTTTTGGTTTGTAATCCTCGAACCAAGTGTTTTGACCTTTTGTTGCATCACATCACATCCACAGGACATAGATAGATACACCACATTCTCTGACCTTCCCAGAGATATCAGTCAGCAGATTTTTGATGAATTGGTGTATTCCCAACGATTAAATTTAAAGTCTCTCGAGGCATTTCGAGACTGTGCTATCCACGTAAAGTCCTTTGTGATTCTCTATATTACCTTTCATGTTCATCTCCTGTGGATATCTTTGGCTGACTCACAGTGTGTGTGTAAACAGGATCTTAACTTGGGAGAATACCCTGGAGTTAATGATGAGTGGATGGATGTCATCTCCTCGCAAAGTACTTCGTTGCTTTCTGTTGATTTTTCAGGGTCTGATATCACAGACTCTGGCCTGGTTTCTTTAAGAGGTTGCAAAAACCTGGAATCCTTAAACTTTAATTTCTGTGACCAGATATCAAACCGCGGGCTCGAGCATCTAAGCGGTAAACTTTGCTCATTTCCAGACATTTCTAGTTGATGTGTATGAAGCAATTTGTCGTATTTTGCTTATCAAAGTGTTCCTTGTACTTTGTATGTGGATGTTTCCTAAGGGTAGTTACTGCATTAGAGTTAATACCTGATGCACTTTCTTTCATTTGTTTGATGGATTTGATTCCGTCTGAATGAAAACTATCGACAAATAATTTCAGGCCTCTCGAATTTGACTAGCCTGAGCTTCAGAAGAAATGGTGCAATCACTGCACAAGGCATGCGTGCCTTTTCCGGCTTGGTTAACATGAAGAAACTAGATCTTGAGAAGTGTCCTGGGATACACGGTGGGCTCGTCCACCTTCGAGGTATATAGCTGCATGCTTTGTTTTCATTCCTCGTGATTATTGCCAGTTTTATGGCATCTCAGTTATTGAGATGTCAACATGTTATATGCACACTGATGGACCGACTAAGCAATGTCTTTTCTTCTCTGCAATTTTCTGTCTTTTCCAGATTTAACCAAATTAGAGTCCTTGAACATAAAGTGGTGCAACTGCATAACGGATGCAGACATGGAGCCTATCTCAGGTAGCAAAAAAATATGCGTCTCCTTCACAGATTTTCTGAACTTTGCTCAATAGATTTGCTTACTCCTTTTTGCTTCAGAACTTAAAAATCTGAGGAGCTTACAGATTTGCTGCAGTAGGATTACCGATTATGGTATCAGCTACCTTAAAGGTACTTGGATTGGGTGATTTTAATTGTCTTACACCTTTGTTTCCCCATTTGGCTCGCATCTTAAGAACCTTATCTTTTTATATTCATTTGTCCAACATTCTTGCTTCAGGGCTAAACAAGCTTAATTTATTGAACTTGGAAGGGTGCCGTCACGTTACTGCTGCATGCCTGGACACACTCACAGGTGTGCATAGCCATCCTTACAGGGTTTTATGCAAGCTTTGTAGCGTCTCCGTGATTGTTCAGTCAATTGGATTTATGATACATTTTGGACAATATATCTGATGAATATCTGCGAGATGAACTCATAAGAGTCTTCTTCTGTTGTCTACAGCTCTTACAGGTTTGATGTTTTTGAACCTCAATAGATGCAATTTCTCAGACAGCGGGTGTGAAAAGTTTTCGGGTGAGTGTTACCTGGCTTCCTCACAGTTGAAAGTGATGGCTTTGCTTTGTGGAAAACTCTGCGGGTATTTGACTTTGTTTCACTCTCCTTTGCAGATTTAATCAATTTAAAGATCTTAAACTTGGGAATGAACAGCATTACAAATTCATGCTTGGTCCACCTGAGAGGTTGTCTCACTTTCTTATTATGTTCCTATTTCCACCATATATATTTTTTTGGTTTCATCCCTCTTCACCATATCGTGGTGTCTGAGAATTGACTTCTAATTAAGATAAGATTACCTTAACAGGTTTGACCAAGTTGGAGAGCTTGAACTTGGATTCTTGTAGAATCGGTGACGAAGGACTGGTACATTTATCAGGTAATTGCTACTTACTTTTCTTGCTCTCATCACGGACTATCCGATATTCAAATATACTCATGTGGCTTTAGGTATGCTTGGGTTGAAATCTCTGGAGTTGTCTGATACCGAAGTAGGAAGCCATGGGCTTCGCCATCTCTCTGGTGAAACATATTCCATTCCATTTTGTATCTATTATCATCTTTGGTATAAGTCAGTGTGATTAACGCATGTAAGTTACGGCATAGGTCTGTCAAACCTGGAGAGCATAAACCTGTCATTCACTGTTGTGACCGATAGTGGTCTTAGGAAATTATCTGGTTTGACCTCTCTTCGAACGCTGAACCTGGATGCTCGTCATGTTACTGATGCTGGGCTTTCCGCGCTTACAAGTAAAGTCATTACAATGCTTTCTCGCTTCAGTCCATAATCTGCGACTGTCAACAAGTTATTTGCCTTTGTATGGTGATGTGGTTACAGGTTCCTCTGAGTTAAAACCAAACTGTCTTGTTTGTTTTTGTTCTAGGTTTGACTGGCTTGACTCACCTTGATCTCTTCGGTGCTCGTATCACAGATTCTGGAACTAATTACCTACGAAGTAAGTTTTCGGTGCTTCTCTTCGATTACGAGATTCTCATCATCTGCTTCCTAAATTTTTTTGTTGGTTTTCATTTGATACAGACCTGAAGAAACTTGAGTCACTTGAAATATGTGGTGGTGGGTTAACTGATGCTGGTGTCAAGAACATAAAAGATCTTTCATCCCTCACACTCCTCAATCTATCACAAAACTCCAATCTCACAGACAAAACACTGGAGTTGATTTCTGGTAAATATACAATTCTTGTTTTAACCAGACAAGTCATATGAACATGAATCCTGAATTCTCATAAAAACCGCAGGATTGACCGGATTGGTATCTCTAAACGTCTCAAACTCGCGAGTATCAAACTCAGGACTGCGCCACCTAAAGCCATTGAAGAACCTGAGATCTCTGACCTTGGAGTCCTGCAAAGTCTCTGCGAATGACATCAGGAAGCTTCAGGCGACCGATCTGCCAAACCTAGTCAACTTCCGACCTGAATAAAATTATTTGTCATAAGGGCAAATTCACAAACTCTGTACATAGATCGATTTCTTCTGGTCCCTCGGACATAGACGACGCTGTCTTCGTTGTATATATAATTGCTTGCGTCCAAAGGGTTGCTCTTCGAATTATCTTTGCAGAAGAAACTGTAAATAAAGCTTTCCAAGCAACTTGTGGCTTGTTTATTTACCGAAGTGAATCAGCTAAAACTGTATAAATAATTAAACCAATCACTTGTAAATTTATGTAAATTCTGATTGCCGTCTGTATTACTATTGAAGTCGAAAATTATTGAAATCGATAATCTTTTTGGCGCAAAGAAAATCTATATGAACGTCAAATCTCAGACAAGGAAAAGAGACGAAAAACATCAGTCACTGTTTTATCCAACTTTACGACTAAAAGAACAGTGAATATTATATGTTACATCTAAACATGTTAGAATCTCTGGGTCATAAAACTTTCTACCAAAAAATAAGAAAAAAAGAACGGACTTTGAAAAAGAAGAAAGAGAAATCAGAGAGGGAGGTAACCCTCATCTCTGTGGTTGATCAGAGGCAGAGGCTCCAACTGATGGTGCGGCCGCTGCACCGCTTGCTGACCCGTTCTCAGCCGGTGGAGCCACTCCCCATTTACCTTCGGACTCAACCGGTTCAAATATATGAACTCCTCCGTCTGACAGGCCAACCGCAAACATGTTTGGTTCTTGTGGATGTGCCGCAATCACCAGTGGATGTACGTTCGAGTTGCTGCACAAATGAACAAGCAAAGCTTCATCAAGTTTCCTCTGTTTTTCTTGCAATATTCTTTTTGCAAGTTTTCTCTGGTGTTTACCTGAGACTAGCTGGTAGATACGCAGAAGGGTTGACCCGGCAACGCAGTCTTAGATTTGCAGAGCTAAATACACAAATCGTTGCATCCATAAAACTCGCATAGACCAACTGGCTATCACATGAGAACGTGGCATGAGTGATCGGAGCTGATGATTCTCTCACTGGCCACTGAAACAAGGCAGGCAATCGTTTGTCACCCATCAAATCCAATACACTGTTGTACATCTTGGAGAGAGAGAGAAAAGAGAACTTGTAACTAAAATACCTGTTTCATGCATTCGAGCTTGGTTGTTTCGTAGATGGCGAGCTGTGTCTCATGCACGACGAGGAAGTGAGCTTGGTCTTGATGGAATTGAACACGCGTATCTGAAGGTGCAGTGTTTGGTCTTCCCTGTGGAAGTGGCAGAACCTTGCTTCTCTGCTTCTCCCATCCATCTGTGTTCCAAACGCAAAGCTGCAACAAAAAGAAGAAGAAAACTAAATCGTATAAACAGACTATTGATCTTATCTCATTGGTTCTGAACAATAGATGGTTTTTTAAGGCGGGAACCTGAGCATCTGCTCCAGACGAAACCAGCACATTTAATACGTTGGAGAAGGCAAGACCAGTTATCCTCTTTGAGTGACCTTTAAGCTTACTCTTCACCTGGGCGAGCAAACAAGGAACATGTTGACCATCTTATCAACAAAACAAAACAAAAACTGCTTCTTTCTCTGGAGATTTCGATTCATTACCTCATCAACACGGACGTTATAAATCTGAATCGTACTATCATCCATTCCGATAGCAATGATATTGTTGTCTTGAGGATGGAAAGCAAGAAAAGTTGCAGCAGGAGGTGGTGGCATGAAAGTAGCCATCGTCTGAGAATTATTAGCCCCAAGAACAGTTCGGTCAAAATGCATACACAAAACATCAAATCGTAAGCATCGGTGTATCCCCATTACCTTAAACGTCATCATGTTGAATAAGGAGATCTTTCCTCCGGAGGCTGACATTACATATGAATCATTCTTGGATAAAGCAAAACAAGGTACAGCTTCCTCAGGATTGCTTTCAGCAGCGTCGTTAGTCATGAGGATCCCACTTGATGGTTGCCACTGCTGAGGCGGCAAGGAAGCTGTCGCCTACACGGATGAATCACGGGAGATCGAGATGTAAACAACAGTGACAATCATCATTGTTTGACCAACAAAGAGAGAGCGAGAGAGAGAGTCAATTTCACCTTTCCAGTTGCGTTGCGGTCACTCCGCTGCCATTTCCATAGAAGATGAATAGCGTTTGATGCCAAAGCCAAGATAGCGTTTCCTGAATTCGTGAAAATCAATCTTGATATCTGCAAAAAGGTTATCGGTTCATCATTATGAAAAGAAAAAAAACATCTACACATATATATAGCCTGTACGTTGATCAGAAAATGCATATTTATAATACCTTAGCGACTCTCAGATTCTCAGGGAGTCTCAGTGACCTGCATTGCGAAGGCTCGCTGACTTCAGTAAGCTTCCATATCTTAGACTTATCATTTGATTCTTCTGTAATCACTGGCTTCACATCCACCATATTCCGCGAATCTCCATTCTATTACAAGGCAAGTGATGATGAGTGATGGAAAGATAAATACGAATGAGTGAAAGAACAAAGAAAACGACATGTATTACCATTCCTTGGATGGATACTACATTGGCTGATCGATCTGCAAGTCCAGCACTCGTGGCAGCCGCTGCAATGCTGTTTATCGCAGGCTGCAAATGTAGAAATGAAGTGTTGAAGAAATTTTTTCAATTGCTTGTAAGTAATTTATTAAAGTTTAGCTTAAGATTTAAGTACCTTGGAGGTTTCAGATGAAATGTTCTCAAAAGTGTGCAGTAGCCTTAGACCATCTGAGTTTGCCATAACCTTGATCACATTCTCGTTTCCAGACACGGCCAAGAGAGAGCCTTCCTTGTTAAACCGGATACGCGGACTTGCCTAGTTTGATATTAGAAGCGCAACTCAAGACGAAACTCCAAAAAGAATATCTAAAGAGTTTCCAAATTAGGCTTTTCTTGTTCACGTACCTGGAGGCCTCCATCGCCATCAATGGCAGTTAAAAGCTGCACAGTGTCCATATCCCAGAACTTGATGGAAAAGTCATCACCCGCAGCTAGATAACGATTTTTAGTTGTATCAAACTGCACAACACCAAGAGAACGCTTGTGGAACCCTTGATATGTCCTTTTAACAGCTCCTTCACTTTCATTCCACTCAACTATGTAAGACTCTCCATCTTTACTAGTCCCACAAGAGAATAGCCTAGTTCCATCGGCACTATAAGCCATTGTAGTACACCAGCGACCGGGTGCATCATAGTCAACTCGAGAACCCATATTATCATACAACCATGCCTTGATTTTCCCATCGAGAGCGGTCGAGAATATAAACTTGAAGACAAGAAGAAAACAAAATCAAAAATCAAAAAACTGAAACATGTGATATGGAAGGGAGGGAGATGAATGGAAAGCTAGCTAAGCTTACCTGAATGTTTTCCTTGTAGTGAGGACAGACGGAGTAAACAGGAGCTTCATGGCCTTCAAAAGTATGTCTTTTGACACCCGTTGCAGCGTCCCAGACCTTGATGGTTTTGTCATCACCACAGGTTATCACACACAGTTGCTTGTTTGGAGTCGAGAAGGAAATGTCATTCACGCCACCAACATGAGCATCAATCTGAAATAACCACAATATTACAATACAATCTCCCCACGGGGCAAAAGAATGTTAGAAAGAGAGGCTTGTGAATGTTATGAGACCTCAAGGTGTTGCCTCATGTCTTCACCTCCATGATAAGAGTATAGTTGTACAATATGTCTCGAGTAAGCAACTCCTGCAATTGAGAAAGTTGGGCGGAGTTATATAGTTGCATAATTCCACATATTAGTTGAATGTAAAGGTGACTTCTTTACCGAACAAGGAACCGTCAGGGCTCCATATCACACGGTTGACAGAAACGACAGGTTCTTTCACCAGAGCAGCCTGAAGATACAAATAATTCAGTCACCGTAGATTTTTATAACATATACCAAACACTGAAATGTTGTTGTTTCTATGCATAGGCACCTGCAAGGGCATTGAACATTTACTCAAATCCCAGACTTTGAAGGTCTTCTGTACTAATCTTTCCCGAGAACCAACTTCCCACAGGCCGATGTCCCCTACATTTGTACCAACTGGTACAGCACAATGCAATCGAATTTAGTAAATCACTAATGATTATAATTTTTACTACACAGAAGCTTTAAACATAAGAGCAAGAAACAGACCTAGAAGCAGAGTCTGTTTGATAGGATGAAAATCCATGCTCATTGGAGATGAGCCCTGAGTCAAAGTTCGGGCAACTGTTTTCGGCAAGTCATCAGGTGCTTTGAAAGCCGGACCGTGGCCATGGGGCTGCCCTGGAAATGACATTGGTAACATGTTCACGCCTAGATTCACCTCGTCAGAGATTCCCATTGGCCTTGTTCTTTTTGAGACATGTTCAGAATCCGCTGACGGGTAGTCTAAAGCAGCATTAGTTGGAGGAGTCCTCGGGTGCTTCAATGCCGCTGTACCAAAATGGGAAAGGAGCTCCACTGTAAGCACATTGCACACAAAGTTTATAGGAAGATATACAAAACTGTTAAGCAAGTAGTTAGTACCTGGGATGGAAGGACCACCAAGAGCAATGGCTCCTGCAGACACAGCTGGATGTGGGACAGAGGATGGGCTAGACATCCAACCAGCGAGAGGCGTTGGAACAGGTGAGGCCGTTGGTTGAAATGGCTGGAGACATAGAGGACATTCACACACTTGGCCTCAGGAGAAAGTTAAATAGATAAATAAAAGATAAGAGATAAAGTTACCCCGTGTGCGCCTAAAGGAGGAAATCCTCCAGCTTTTGGTAATCCTCCAAGCAGTGGATTGTTCACAGGGGATGGAGCCCGTGCACCATTTGGAGGCCCACACGAATGATCCACGAAAAGAGTCTTTATATCTGGATTTGGCCTCGGGTTCTTACAAAGCTGATGTTGCCAGTTCAAGCTGCAAGTTATAAGGGAGGAATGAGTTAATGCCAACGACTTGAAGTGAACAAGACAAAACGATAAAGGGACAAAAGCAATTAACCTCTGGTTGATCAGAGTCCTCAG